AGCAGCTGCTGAAGTGTTCTCTCTGCACTCCCCAGGAACCATTGCTTTCCTTCTGCCTTTTTCAGGCCTCACTCTAATTCTAGTGCAGGATATTTTTCTGCTCATTTCACAGTACCTTGCCATTACTGCCTCCCTTGCTCTTTGTCTTAATGTCTCCTATGGGTGTTCTTGTCCGACAGAAATCTAGAAATTCAGGCAGCAAAGCGGACACTTGGGCATTAAATGGCCAAACAGAGTTAGTGAAATACAAGATTTCTGGTCCCAGCTGCAGTCTCTGAAGACTCGGACTCTCTCATCTTTCAACCAAAGGTTTGTTTTTCTGTCTGGTTATAGGCCCTTTCATCAGAATACAGAAGTTACATTTCTCCTATGTGGCACTCAGAAGTCATAGCTATATATATCCATGACAGGCAAAACCCCAGTGAGTATATGTTCTTCTAAACTATCTGAAACCACTTCTAACATAGAAACCAACCTTCAAGGAAGGAGAATCTACCTGACAACATTTCTATTTAGAACACAATTTCAGGTCCAGCTTCATTTATTTAGTCATTTTATAATGTTGTTTCCATCAGATTAAAAATTCAGATGCACAGATCCTAATGACATTATTTCCGCATTATGTCAAAAACCTAAAGGAAATGTTAAGGATTCCCCTGGCCTATTCCCACTCCTTTGTTTAGATCCCATACATTATTCTTATAAACAGTTAACTAGCACATTTAAAGAACAACTATATTATTATTTCACGTAAAACCTCATAGGTCTTGAAATAGGCTGTAATCCTGTTTGTAACCATCCCCCCACTCTTGTCCCTGCCCAAACTGAATTATAATTCTAAAGTTTCTACACCAATCTACTTTTTTTTTTCTTTTTAGGTATTGCTAAAGCTGGAGAACTGTTGCCAATCTTACTTTGGAAAATAATTCTATTTCTCCTAGTTTCTGTAAACTGTCCTCATGTATTCTTAATTTTCAAACATTTTAGATGAGCTTGTAGTGTTCATAACCAACAACAGATACCTGCTGTAGGTTAATTTGGCTAATGCAGAGTAAATTTTAGATTCTTTCTCTTAGACTGCCCATACATCTGTCTGTTACTTAACAATGCAAGAAATGATTTAGTAAAGTTAATGATCCATTGGGAAGGCAAAAGTAAATTCATATAATGAAGCATCTAGGACTCTTCTCTGTGCATGTAAAACAGCATTTTAATGAGCTAAATGAGTTTGAATATTTAAACTCTGAATAACCCTTACTATTTGTTATCCAAATTTAAAGCAATATTTCATATGTAATCCATAATATTAGAGGCTGGTTTTCAATGGCTGCTTTCTACCTATGAAGTATAAAAAATGTTCCTCAAAAACACACATGATAGAACAGGCTTAATGTAAATATCAGAAGAAACATAAAAGGAATATATGAAAGGATGACTTTGTGAGAATAAGAAATAGTACTAATATTACTATTTTTGAAGTAGATTATAGAGAAACTAAGAGAGCTTCTGTTTACATTCTATAAACAATGTACTAAACAGATTCCTGCCTTCATGGTGAAAAATAATTGCTGAAAATAAGGAGGTCAGTAGGTCTAAATACAGGTAGATTATAGCATCCTCTGACATTTTAAAGTGATTTCAGAGAAAATATAATGTTTTATCTATCACATTAGAATTAAAGGAACTATTCATAAACAAAGAATTGTAGACTCTTCTCAACTGTCTGATAAATTCTCAACCAGAGCAGGGATTCCCTGACAACATCACTGACATGATTTTCTATCTTCTGCTATAAACATTTTTGGGAGAAGAAATGTGTTCCAACATATTCCACCAAATTTGTCCTTCCTTTAACTTTCACCCAGTGTTGAAGATGTTGTAATGGAATATAAGTCTGCACTCTGCCACAAAGCAACTATTTAAATGTATAAAATAACTAATATCATCTAGTATCAAGTCTTCCAATTTTAGATTATCACTCAATGTCTTCAACTATTCCTCAATGAAAATGGCTCCAGAACATCTTAACATCTTTAATGGCTCTTTACAAACTCCAGTTAATAGTCTCTAGAGTGAGACTCAGAATTGGAACACTAAGAATCCATGTGGGGTCTGACCAGTAAAAAACAGTTAGAAATTATTAAGTATCTGGAATCCTACATGTACGGGTTTAGTCAAAGATTGCATTCACTTCAGTTTAGTAGTCTAGGCGTAATGTTGTTCTGTGAGTTTCTCTCTTAATAAAACACTTAGATCATTTTCATCTAATGTCTGGTAAATAACAATTTTTTAAAATTTTAACCTTTTATTCTTCCTATGAGTGCTTTTTTTTGTGATTTGGTATTTTTTCTTAATCCTTTCTTTCTGATGATAGTGGACATCTATTATTTGTATCTCCATGTTTTTACATCCTGTAATTCTATATTGCTAGATACTAAAGGCAACCACACCTCATTCTCCTCCCAACTGCTATGGTTTAAATTGTTTTATTCCCTCCAATATTCACATGCTGAAAACTTAATCACCAACACAACATTGTTGGAAGGTGTGTCCTAATGAGATGTGTTTTTATTATGTGGGCAGAGCCCACATTAAAGGATTAATGCTGTAAGAAAAGGGCTTGTGGAAAGGGTTCCCCCACTTTTGCTATGTGACAACACAACATTCCTTCTTTCCCATCAATGGAACAATAAGAAGCCATCTTGGAACCAGAGACAGAGCCAACTGGCATTTTGATCTTGGACTTTCCAGCCTCCAGAACTCTAAAACAATAAATGGCTGTTCTTTATGAATTACGGAGTCTGTGGTATTATGTTATAATAGCACAAACAGATACCCTCCAATCATGCCTCTAGTTGGAGTAAGTAATAAATTGGTTGAGTCAGGAGATGGCATTAATCCAACCAAGGCCCTTTCGGTTTTAAATTTTGAGCCAAAGAGATTATCTTCTTCTCTAGAGATGAAACAATGAGATGTGAGATGCAGGAACTCTTAGCAGTAGGCTGGGAAAAAAAAACTGAGACAGTTAGCCTGGGAAAAGAAAGCCAATATGTAATGAAAAGTAAAAACAACTTAGGCCGTTTTCAAGATTCCGGTTCCAACTATTCCTGAAGCTTAGCTATACCCTTAGGTTGTCCATGGGTACATGAGCTAATAAATTCATTTAAAGAAAAAAAAAAACACAACAACAACAACAAAAAAACACTTTTCTAGCAAAACAAGTAGTGACTTGCATATACATTTTACTGTCTATGGTTTTTAATTATTCCTCTTTCTCAACTTGATGTCTTGTATTATCTATTGTTACTATAATAAATTATCATCAACTTAGTGGCTTAAATAATACAAATTTATTATTTTACAGTCCTATAGGTTAGTAACTGATGTGGGTCCCACTAGCTAAAACCAGTGTTGTCAACTGCACTCCTTCCTGGAGACTCTGGGAAAGAATCTGATTCCTTGTCTTCTCTGGCTTCTAGAGGCCATCTGTGTTCCTTAGTTCATTATTCCCTTCCTCCGTCTTCAAATTCAGTAATGTTGGATCTCTGACCATTCTTATGTAGTTACGTGTCCCTCTAACCCTGATCTTATTTGGAAAGGTTGTTGTAAGGACTCTCGTGATTAAATTGGACCCACCTGGATAATCCAGAATAATCTCCTCATCTCGATGTCCTTAATTTTAAGCACATATGCAAAGTCTCTTTTGCCACGCAAAGTAACATATTCATAGGTTCTGGGAATTTAGGTATATAAATATTTGAGTGAGGGGGGAATTATTCTGCCTGCCACTAAGAAACAAAGACGACATTTCATTTCTCATTTCATTTCTCATTATTCAGTTCAGTAATAAAAATATGTTAAATAGGAGAAGCCAAAGATACCTTTCAAAATAATAACAACACGTTAATCAACATTATTTGGAAACCATTGTATTATATATCAAATGACTCTTTCAAAATTGTTTTTCTGGGAAGAAAATTTCTGCTGGTTTTATCTTTTTCTAAAGATGCTTTTGGAGATCCTTACTGGATTTCCCCAGCTATCATCAGAATGCAATCTCTGAGATGTAGAAATAAAAGTATTTCCATATCCATATACTTGAAGCCTAAGGCTGCTATTATTTCTAAGCATAGAGAGTGAACACAGCATCTCTTTGTTTTACTAATTGCTTTGTTTCCCTAAGCTGCAAGTACAACATCTTGCCAGACCAGAATGCACTCCTTCCACACACCAAAGAACCACGGCTGGATAAACGACCTACACATCATGGTGTAAGGGCAAGAGCTTTGCAGGCAGCCAGAAGGCAGTTTTCAAGAGGCAAAGACTTCAAGTGGAAATGAAGCTGAATCACCCTCCAAAATCTTTAGAGTGGTTATGGAGTTGTTGATTCTGTAATGATTTCATAGTGTCTGCAATTTTATTGATTTTGTTTTTCAATAGAACTGTTAAAGATTACGATTCTAAGATAAGCAGAATGTGGGCAGATGCTCACAATCTCACTCACTGTTCTGCCAAGATATTTTTACATCTTTCTGCACATAAAACAAAATGAAGACATGTGCTATAGATGCATGCTACCAGTAATCCCCCATCCCCATAAGAAGGGAGTTTACTCTATGTTAATATCCTGGATGAGGTATTAAATTTTACTTAGAAAAAAATTAACAGAACTTCTAAAATAAAAGTGGTTTGCTTCCAAGGCAGTTTATGAAATATTCTTAATTACCCAAACCCATTGAAAAGGCAATTTGGGTCATCATTTCCAAATGTCATCTCTGTTATTTCCACTTCAGTATTAAACTTCATGCCACATCAGAATATAAAATGCTGCAACAGCTTACGCACTGTTGATGTTCATTCATCTACTGCACATCAGAAAAGCTCATTGCAAATATGGCATGAAAGAAAGAAAAGTAAGCAAAACACACTCAGAAAACACTTGAAACAAACTGCCTCAAGGAACACACTCCAGAGGAAAGATTGCAAAACCATAGCCTTACCTTGGGAGACTTGGGCAGGTCCACCTTCCTTTCTTCTGCTAAGGTTAGCAGGGTTAACTTTGTTTCCTCTACTGAAGGGTGTTTGGGAGGGCGAGGTGGGGGGTGTGAGGCTGAGCTTTCATATCTCCGCATCATGTAATACTGCTCTTCAGTGATCTCTTCTACCAGAGTCCTGACTAGAAATGGTCCTGCATCCCTAGAGAAATTACTAACTAACTGAACAGTCATATTCAAGCGACCCACAGGAATTTCCCAGCACTCCGTGGGGTTGGCAAAGTCACTTATGAGTAGGTAAGAGTCTGTGATGTCTTCCTCCAACTGCAGTCCTGGTGTGGCAGCCAACACATCCTCTTCAATGGAAAGATCCCTGACAGACACCTTCACATTGAAGGGCAAGCGGAACTGTTTACAGAGCTCAGAAATCGGGTACTGTTTCTTATCATGAATCACCTCTACAAAACCTCCTTCCATGTACAAAGGGAGCAGTGCTGCCTCATAGGACTTTTTGAGGATTTTTTCACAGGCCAGAACATTCACTACTTTTTTTATTCCCTCACAGAGGACTTCAGTTGTCTCTGAGTGATGCACCAGAAACTGGTCCCCAACAGATACAGATGACAGCTTGTTATGAGGGGAATGAAAGGCTTTGGTGGCCACCACGTGAAGAGGCTCCTTTTCACTCTTAGCGATCTCTAGGTCATAGGCCGTTGGGAACTCCCTCGGTCGCCGCTTGAACTTGCCTTTATAGCTAGTGGGGATCAAGAAGTGTCTTTTAGGAAAATTGCTTCTAATTTCTGAAGCTAAGATTCTTGATGCCTGGTACTTTTTGTGGATCACAATTGTTTTCCCAGGCTGTAAAATGCTTTGGGGCAGGTGATTTCCTTGAGGTGCTTCTATGACTTCAGTTACTATGGGGAACTCTTTACTGGTCATTTCAAAAAGATCTTCTGTTGATAACAGCTGAAGAAACCAGTTAGCATCATAAGAATCAGTGATGTCTTTGACTTCGACATCTAGACTGGGGAGGATGCGGACTATATCCTTTCGAACTGAAAAGAAAACAAAATCACTATGGTATTTTGTACTTCAAAATGTTTGCTGCAAGATACTCTCCTGATGACATAAATAAACTTATTTTACAAAATAAAGAACTCAGATGATCATCATATATCATTTCTTATGTGTGATTTTCCTTTTTTCAAATTTTAAGATGAAAGAGATTGAATATAAAACCAACACTCACAAGCCCATACTCAGTTTAAGAAGTGGACATTAGCCAGTACCTTGGAGCTCTAGGGAACTTCCTCAGAATCACATCCTCACTTCTACTGACGTACAATCACTCTCCTGATTCTCATGCTAAATATTCCTGTGTTTATATTTATACTTTTATCATTCATAACATACATGAATATAGCTATATGTGTGAATATGTATGTAAATGTGTTCATAAATTTTATACGAAGGTTTATAAATTATTAGGTCATTTTAAGTCACATTCTTGAGGGCCAGACTTTATATATCAAATTATCATAGAAGAAAGTTTTGACCCAAAACATACATTCTTTATACCAAATCTTATCCTGTGAGATGAAACAATATTGCAAAATCATGAGATACAAGCTACTTGAGATTAATATGTGAAAATAAATACCAAGATGCAGTATTTTTCCAATGTCAAAATTATTTCTTTCTCCACTGGTGTTATATTATACCTACCTAGCAAAGGAGTGGTGCAGAGTGGGTCACAATCAGAGGAGCCATTCAGGAGCCCTACGTATGCTGGTGGGTGCTCAGCAATGTATTAATTGCCTCATGCGTCACTGGGGTTAATGGATATCTGTATTTTTTCCAACTACCCACTGTCTCATGAGTCTTCCTTTGAGACTGCAGAGATGCTTAGAATATTGTCCTGCATTTATTTACCTGTTCCTCATACACTACCCAACATAGTATCATTATAAATGGTCCTGAATAAACTTACGTATTGGCCAGGAACTGTATCTCATTCCTATAATCCCAGCATTTTGGGAGGCTCAGGTGAGAGGACTGCTTCAGCCCAGGAGTTCAAGGCTAGCCTGGGCAATATAGTGAGACCTTGTTTCTGTACAAAAATTAGAAAAAAATTAGCTGAACCTGGTGGCATGTCCCAGCTACTCAGGAGACTGAGGTGGGAATATCACTTGACCCTGAGAAGCAAAGGTTGCAGTGAGTCATGATCACACCCACTGCATTTCAGCTTGGGTGACAGAGTGAGACCCTGTCTCAAAACATAAAAATAAAAAAAAAATAAAGTTATGTGTTAATATTAACAGGGTATTACAATAGTCTATATTTTCTTGATAACTTACTAACATAAATTTTACAGCATTTTCATGATATGGCATTGATTTTTAATATCTCCAGCCACCCTTCTGTCATTTTTTTCTTCCTTCCATGCTTTTGAAAATGAACAATTTGGAAGATTTGGAAGACAGAATATCCTCTTATAAAACATTACATATATATTACTTTTCATATTATTAACTGCATCAAAAAACCTGTGTGATTTATGTAATATTATTTATATACCCTGTGTAATTATAGAGTTTCTGAAGATGCAGCAATGAAAAAGTATTATCTTCTTGTAAAAAAACAAAAAATCAGTGGTTGCCTATAGGCTGAAGGTCTGCAAAATTGTAAAGATTTTTAATTTTTAGAAAAAAAAGGAGGGTTTAAAGAGCACTTCTTACATTAATAAGTTATTTTATAAAGTTTAGCACACACTAACTTTTGACATTATACCTACTGGCTTCTCTGAACCTCAAGGTAAGTTTAGAAACTAAAATTCTGGTTGTTTGACTCAAAATGAGCTAGGTTTAAGAATCCTAGAGCTAGCTCTAGATAGGCTCATGCTATTCCTCAAGTCTAGGGAACAGCTAGAGATTAGTAGAATAGATGCCATCAAGGACTTCCTGAGAACTCAGAACATCAGTTTCAATGCAAGCTAGATCCCAATCTTTCTTTGTACATGGTGGGTGCTGTGGGCTAGGAATAGCTTTAATGCATTGAAGGAAGGCATTGCTGCTGGAGAAAGTCTACGGGCCATGTTATCTAAACTCTTAATTTTTTTGTATTCAATTACTGACCTATCTTCAATACTTTTGTGCCTAAATCCACTGAAATAATGTTAGCCTATCTTATTTTACTTAAGTTCTCAGCAGCATTTGACAAAGTAGATTAGACTCCCTCCTCTTTGATACATTTTTCTCACTTATTTTCCTCTTATCTCACTTGTGATTCTTCTCAGTTTTGCTGGTTTCTTCTCCCTATACACCACCCACCCCTCACACACACCTTTTAGCGTGTCTTGGTTCTCTTTTTCCCTCTATCTACACTCACGCCTACTCTGATCTTAAATGGTCTCATGTCTTTAAATATCATCTTTATGCTGATGACTACCCAAAGTATAGCTCTAGCCAAAACATCTTCCTGAATGCTGTATGTCTACTTCAGATCTCCACTCGGACATCTAATAGATGTCTCAAAATTAACATGCTTAAACTGAAATCTAATCTTCCCCCAAAACCTAAGCTACATGCTGTTTTCCCAAACTCAGCTATTGGAAACTGTTTTCTTTCAGTGCAGTCCATAAATCTCAGGGACATCCTTAGCTTTTCTCTTTTTTAACACCTGACATCTCTTACATCAGGACTATCCTGATCTGAGCCATATTATCTCTTGCCTGGCTTGTTGCAATGGCTTTCTAACCAGTATCCTTGCAGTCAAATCTCAATAGGGAAGCCAAATATTATTTTTAGATGCTAAATAAATTATGTCTGTCTTCTGTTTATAAGCCTACGGTGTCACTCCTTTCACTCAATATAAAAACCGAAGTCTTTACCTGGCCCCTGGCACCACCTGGGTCTCATCTGCTACTCCTTTGTCTCACTCTAACTCCCCACTGTCTCCCGGACCTCCTCATTGTCAGTCAGATCTTTGCACAGCCTGTTTCCTCTGCCTGTTACATTCTTCAGCCAGATATGTTCACAGCCAACTTCTCTTTTTCTTCAAGACTGCTTAAATATCATCTTGGCAGTGAGATCTACTCTAAATGCTCTATTTAAAATTGCAAGCTTCTCTTCCATTTGCCCTTTTCTGTTTCTCTATTTCATATCACCCTTCACCTTCAATCATTCCATATCACTTGCTTATTTATATTATGATCATTTTCTATTGTTTGTTTCCCTAAACTGAAACATATGCCTTCCCAGAGGCAGTAGTCTTTCATTGTTTTCTTCATCAATGTCTAGAATGTCTAGAATGGCTCCTGGCACATAGTAGATACTCAATAAATGAATTAATGAATAAAAAATAATTGCCAGAACAAAGTACATGAGTGAGTACTAAAGGAAGCAAATCAGTAAATAAATTCTATATAAAATTTCACTGTAGAAAAAAAGTTTTCAATGTTAAAATTCCTGCTACTATTCATAGCAGCTATTGTATATTTTATTTAAGACATGTCTCTTAAGGTTACAGTTTAACTTAATCAATGGCCTGTTCAATGCAGTAAATACTTGTTTTTAATGTCTTCAATACAATAGAGAGATTGAAGTATAAATAGATGAGCAAAGTAAAATACTTTCATCCAAGTTTTTTAATTAAAAAGATTAGGCAAAATCATGATGTATATGCCTAAAGAGAAGATTCAGTACAAGGAAATAGCACAAGCAGTGAAAATCAACAATTCTTCTTAGATTCACCAGAGAATTGAGGTCACAGGGCAAACCACAACCCCAAAAACTAGACAGGTAGGCGAATACAAACAGTCATAGCTCACTGGGGGCAAAAACCACTGCTGGAGCCAGCATCTGGAAGAATACAAGGGTAACTGGGGACCAACAGTAGAATCGTTTAAGAGATAAAACTCCCAGGGTAGGGGGAGCATGTTTAGGAGGACCTTCCACACTTTTCTGAGTCTTACTTTCAGGGGCCCATCCAGGTTCTCGGGATGAAGATGAAAAAAATTTCCTTGTGCTTCTGGCAGGGTGAGAGAAGAAGCAACCATTCTGAAATATATCCTTCTGTTCTCCTTTAAAAATGCCTGTCCTCAAGGAAAACTATTTTAGCACAGCCCAACCAACTTGTGCTTTACCAGATCCTAACTGTTATGGGGGAAGGGAATTACCCAACCAAACCACCTCTAATATTCTATGTAGGGAAAAAGCAATACCCAACTCCAACCTCCTCTGTACTTCCACATAAAGGAAGGGAAATACCCAACTCAAGCCTCCACTAGCCATTCTGTCTCTCCCAAAGCGTACAAAAAAGCTGAGAAACATTTTTGAAGGTCACAGCCTAGAGACACAGGCTCACTAATAACTGAAACCTAATCATAAAATTATAGAAATCCCCCCTCCATACCATAGGACCACATCAACAGTGCTACTGTATAATAACAGGAAACTACGACTCAAAGAAAGGCATTTAAGACTGTATCTAAGAAGGAGTCTCTAGAGACTAAAGTCAATAGGGCAGACAAAAGCAAGAGCACTACACGACAATGTAGTCTCTGACACCTACCATTATCGTAAACTATAAACACAGCCTAACTTCTAGATAGACAAACAGAAAATATCACATTAAAAGACAATTTATCAGTTTCTTTTAACTGAAACATCATGTCTGGCTTTCAAAAAAAAAAAATCTGCAACATATATTATAAGGCAACAAAGCACACTCTGAAGAGACATATCAAGCATCAAAGCCAGATTCAGATATAGCACATATTTGGGAATTATCAGACCAGGAACTTAAAATTTAATAATAACCCTAAGGAGTATAATGGAAAAAGGGGACAACATGCAGGGAAAGACGGGTGATGTAAGCAGAGAAATGGAAACTCTAGGGGAAAACCGAAAGGCAATGATAGAAATTGAAAACACAAGGCCAGGCACGGTGGCTCACGCCTGTAATCCCAGGACTTTGGGAGGCTGAGGCAGGCGGATCACGAAGTCAGGAGATCGAGACCATCCTGACTAACATAGTGAAACCCTGTCTCTAATAA